AAGTATGTGGGTATGAGATCTACTGAGGTCCCACAGTTGTTAAACATCTCTCACTGGAGTCTCCCAGTGGAGTGGGCCAAGACCAGTTCTTTGTAAGCTGTTGGTGATTAATGTGCCCTAAGTCAGGTTACAAAAAAATCCTAATGAACAAGTGGTGTCACTCTTCAAGCAGTAGCTGAAATAGTGTGTAGAGCAAAAATATCTGCATAACTGGTCTTCTGGAAAGTTTTTGGCTCCTTTCCATAAGCTTATAACCCAATCCACCTGAGAAAACATAAAGAAAGAAAGATGGCATTTTGCACTCATTGCCACTATCTCCACTATATAATATTATGTGTTTTGGTTGTCTAATGTCTCAACCAAGTTCTGAAATTGTGTGAATCGTATCTACAGGGTGTGCTAGGTTAGATTTTGACTCCATACTTCAGGGACTTTTAATTAACCAACACTCACTGATCTCTTGGGTGCTTGAATTTTATCAGATGAGAGTATAAATTGCTGGAGAACTAATCTCCATGAAAGGCATTAACATAAGAGGAACCCAAAACCAAAACAGCTATCATGGAAAGGGTGGGTCCAAATCTATCTGGATTTCAGCGCTTCCCGGTACTAATTTATTTAATGTTGGTTGTCCCAGAGAAAAAGCAGAACAACTCAAGGTAAAAAAAGTCAGCTGAACACCTGTTTTAGTTGTGTTGGACAGCAAAATATCAGATACTACTCTTAGCCAGAGAACCCTCATCACCAGTGGAACAATGAATCTTTTTTGAGCCTTTGATTAACAAGAGCATCAGTTTCTATCCCATTTTCCATAAGTATCATTTGGGATTTTTTCTGCTAGATCTGTGCAGCTATTTAATCTCCTGCATCATGCTGATGGACAGATACAGCAAGCAAATAAACCATAGTTTCTAGAAGCCTCTTGATGACAGCTGAAGGGCACTTTAGCATTTGGATATCACTCTGCTTATCAATTATGCATGTAATGTTAGGGCCCATGTGTCTAACAATCAGAGCTTAACTCTGCATGGCTTCCAGTTAGAGTTCCCCATGGGCCTGAGACACGTGTGATTTCTGCAATGTGCTCCAGCCCCGCACTGATGTCAAAGAGGAACTAAACAACCACATTAAGGTGGAGGAAACCCACACCTCTATTTCTGAATTTTTTCAGTGGGGCAGTTGTGGGAACACCTGCTTGTTTATTTCAACATGGGACTTTTGTCCAGCCAGGAAATGGAGCTGCTTATTCAAAGGACCATCGAATGATTTGGATCATCAAGTAAGCTGATCCAGTACACTTTATATTTCAGTCACAATATAATTGAATTGACCCTGTATTCTACTCTGTGTTACTACATGAATAAAAGAAGGAAAATCTGTTTCTTTGATTAAATGAACTATCTTCCATTTTAGGGCTTAAGAGACGGCAGGTATTTTTTAAAATAAAGCTAGAGGAGGGAAATATCCCACAAAAGGCAGATGTATTTGACCCATCAGGATGGTTACACAGCTGAGAAAGACCATGGGAAGTGCACAGATAAATGCACCTGACTATGTCTGCAGATATCATTGGCTATTCTGTAAAAAGTTGGTACAAAAGGATTCCACCCCAGTGAGGTGGGAACAGAGGACAGAGAAATTATTTATCTTGAGGCTACCAGGGATTAAAATGAGGGATCTGGCCTCACCCTTCCTCCCTTTATTGGAATCTCTTTGCTTGCTCTGAGCCATGTCTGGCAGTGCTTGCAGCACTAACTCCTGCTCCTTTGCACTGCATCTTGTCCCCCAGATGCCTGGCCTCAGCCCTAGTCGTGCCTCCTCCTTGTCCCCAGAGCATGGTGCAGCCTTGGCTCCTGCCTTGTTAGAGGTGAGAAGAGCAGAAACCCAGGCTACTCCAGTTTTCAAGAGCTGCCGCGACTGGGCAATCCAAGGGCAGGGCACAGACCAATCCTAGGATCAGCTTTGCAGCATTTGCCATACTCACAGCGCAGAGGAGGCCAATCACAGCCTCTCCCCTCCCCACCAGCTGGCCAGGTTGCTGCACTCACCACAGGCAGAGGATGCTCAGCAGACAAGGTCCTGTTACTGCTACTAGCAGCCAGTGCCATTCCCGCACCAGGTAGGCGACGGTGGCCAGCAGCATGTTACCGACGCTCCAGAAGATGCTGCTCAGGATCCCGGAGAAGGTGCGGTGCTCTATGTCCACCCACTCCATCCCTGCAAGAGGGAGGCAGTGTTCAGCTGGGACACACGGGGCTGCTCCAGGAAGGGGTCTGCAGGGCTGTTTAACAAGGGCAAAGTGAGGTGACATCCCCGGGTCTTCTCTTCCAGGAGAGTCCCGCTGCTTGGCCCAATGTCTGGCACGTTTAAAATGTTCATTCACAACACTTAACCTCTTGCAAAGCTGTAACTAACTTAAAATAACAAATACTGGACACATAGTAAGACCACCTTGGGTGATACTCTTCAAAAATCCCATTGAGTAGCATTCAAATAGTCTTCATCAAACAAATAATGTTTTTTTTCCCCCCTAACAGTCTGCCTTACAGAGTTTCTCATTTCTCTGCCTGCTCATTATTCCACATGAAAGAAATATATTAAGATGAATTGCCATTTGTGTGGCATCTACCCAAAGTAAGTACTTCTGTTCTGCTACAAGTAGAACAGATGATGGTCTACTTGTTTGTGTGAGATGACTAAAAGCCAGTTTTCCTCCAAAGATCTGGACATCTTGCTACAACCTCTAACACTCAGGAATGTCCCTCCCGAGCTCCACTTTGCCCAGCAGGCATCAGCCTTTTTAACAACAAAAAAAAAACCCAGACCCAAACCGTAGCAGACGTTGGGAATTGTCAGGTCTTGTGTGGACTTTTCCAGTATTGAAGTCATTTTAGCTTGAGTTTGGCTGTACCTGCAAAAATCCTCAACATTTTTGCTGCACCTGTATCTTGCTCTTGGGTACAAGAAATCTTGCCTAGTTTGGAGCTTGTTCTTATTATATAATTACCTACATTCTTCAGCTTCAGTTTTGCTTTGTATAATGATTATTTTTTCGTGTGTTTTTTTCTCCCAACTCTTTCTAAAAATACAGGTTGGGAACTTAGGAAAACCGAGTGAACTCAAGACCAGGGAACTAGAAACACCCCGTGAATGACACACTGTCCTCCTCCTGCTGAGGACACAGCAGTGCTGATGAACTGTCTGCACAGAGTGTTTGAAGGGTGAGACCACAGTATCAGAGCCAAGGGGCAGATACTTTGGTCTGTGGCTTTTATTATACTTCTGCTGATCCTTAACAGGAACGGGGTAGCATGGATTGCAACTGTTAATGTTGCGAGAGAAGTACTAATAAGTGGTTGTTATAGTTTGACTAGATTGTTAAAGCATTAATTAGAGTAACAGAAATCTGTAATTCTTGGGTCCTGCCAAGAGTGATGTTCTTTGGGCTGCCTGAAGTGACATTGCACACGTGACCATTTCCAAACTCTGGTTCCTACTAGCTCTGCCTTGTCTGCTAGACAGGTCCCTCCCCACTGCCTGTCAGACGTCCCCCCCCTTACAACTGGGCACCCAGAACCCCCCACATGCTTACCCAAAGGCAATACAATAAGGGAGACACCACTCAGGGCCACCCCTGTGAGGGTCCGTGTGATGGCCAGCATGCTGTAGGAGGTGGAGGTGGCACTCAGCATCCCGAATATGACCGAGCACACAAGTGACAGCAGGAGCATGGCTTTCCGTCCGAACCTGCCACAAGCACAGGCTGGGTTACAGAAGCTGGAAACCTGTCCCAGGAGTAGGGTTTGAAATGGAGAGGCTCAGGGAGGGAAATGAAAATATTGCCCACTCTGCAAAGAGTTCAAGATGCGATGTCCCAGAGAGGAGGATACAGCTCTGGATGCAGCCGGTGCCAGTGGTGCAATCCCATTCTGTCCCATGAGTATCAGGCATGAGGTTCTCCAAGAGCAGCACTGATCAAAACGGTATATTTGGCTCCCTTGTTCAACACTATCATCAAAAGCAGGGATGTCAGTTTGTCATCCCATGCTGCTGGCACACCCTGCTCCCTGCAATGACTGTCCCTGTGCCTGGCTCAGCATGTCCTTGTCCTGTGAGTCACTCAGGATCAGCCACTGCCACTGCTCTCGAGGAGAGAGAGCTGTGACACTTTCATCCTGATCCTTGGAAGGAGAACAAAAATCCCAAAGGAAAATAAAAGGAATCAAATTGTTGGCCCACATCTGTAAATAGCCCTGATGTCCTAAGGGGACTTATGAGGCACCTGCTAGGTGTTCATTCTTCAGGGGTTTTGGAAGCTGTAGGTCCATCTTACCCCTTGTGCAGAGTCCTGTGTGGAGAGTATGGAGAAATACAGAAAATAACTTCACACGCATGGAGCTGTGTGCACATGCACACACACAGAAATAGGTGTGTATTTCTACACAACCTATGAACGTTTAAAAATCAAAATGGAACACCAGCCATCAGTCTTCTGATTAACATCAGCACTGCATGTGATGAAAGCTAAGGTTCATACTCGAGTAGTAAATTAGCCCTGCAAACACACAATGTTCAGTCTACAGGTATTGAAATCCTGGTATGATTTTGGCATCAGGGCTCTCTTAGTGGCCACCTGGGGAGGACGGTGGCAAGAATGGTTGCTCCAGGGGAAGAAGTGATGTGCTAGCACATAATGCCACAATAACATTCCTTAAAATGATCATAAACTACTTAATGCAGCAGCTAGTTAATGAATCTACTGGAGAAAAAAACTTGTGGGTTAGGCCCAGGCAGTTTGCTGGATCAGCTGTGAAACTGAAGCAGAGACAGTTTGCAAAAGTCATTGGAACAAGCCCAGGGTCAGAGCAGCCAACACCTGGAAATACACCAGAGCTGGATCCAGTTTCCAGTAGGGTAACTGCCTAAGAAAGAAGATACATTTAAAAAAATTTGATCTTGAAAATACATTAAGAAAGCCACAAGACTCCCTGCAGTGCACAAGGCAGCTCTTTCTGCCTAGTCATTACTAGACTCTCAGCAAGTGCATGTCACCTGCTAGGGAAACCAGAGGTGAGCTGGCAGGATTGAACTGCAGGCTTCAGGGAGGCTGCTAGAAACAATGCTGTAAAAATTGTCTTCAAAGAGAGAAGTAGGAAAGCACAGTCTCTGAAAGATGAAAAGTAGAAAGTATAATAAAAGGAGCAAACCACTTAAAAATGAATGAAAAAAAGCCATTTTCATAAATTTCCCAATCTGGAAGCCTGTCAAAGCATCATACAGCCAATTTAGTAAAAGGAGAAGGTACAAAAGGAGTGTTTGGGAAAGAGCAGACAGTAACAGAAGCAATATATATATTTTTGTGTATATATATATATATATTTGCAGTGTAGGTTGCTGGAGGTTTTACCAGGGTAAAATTTGTCAGTAGAGATGTTCTCAAATCCAAATGTTTGCAGAGGCTTAGAACAAAACAAACCTGAACTGTACCAGAATGCCAGGACCAGATGCAGCACTAGAGATTAAATATCTACATTACTGTTAGCACAAGTAAATGAGGCCTCTTCTCTGTCAGAGAACAGAAACTTTACTAATGAGACATTAGCTTTTAAAGGGTTTCAGGGGGCCTGGGGGGCATGACAGTTTAACAAATCTGCCAAATTTGCTGCAAAGCTACTGGTTGCACTGCCCCCACTGCAAGCACAAGGGCTTCAAGCCCTTCCTGGTGACCTGAGGGCCCTGAGGGTGCAGCTACTGGTCTGGCTAACTGGAAGTCAAGCCATAACCTGGTCTTTGTTATTAGCTCCTCTGGATTTTCTCCATTTTGTCTTTAGCCTTTTGAGATGGAGGGTGAAGGGAAATCAAGACTGTGCAGAGTATCCAAGGTGTGGAGCCACCCTGTGTTTACATGTTACTGCATAGTGATACTCTCTTTAACCTTATGTTCCTTTCCTAATGGTTCTTAATTTCCCGTTTGCTTTCAGCCACTGCTCATTGTAGAGTGGATGTTTTGCCTAGAGCTGTCTGTCATAACCCCAATGTCCTGATCCTGAGCAGCTGTGGTCAGCCCAGAGGCCTCAATGTTGAATGAGAAGCTAGAATTGTTTCTATTTTGGATTAATCTACTGGTATATTTTTTCTTCTGATGCTCCCATCCAGTTCTTTAAGGAGCTCTTTAAGCTCTTTCTGAAGTTCTCCACATTCAGCTCTTATCTCTACCTGCCTGCTCACTCAATGTCACCTTCCCAATCTCTCCTTTTCCAGATAATTTATAAATGTGCTGAAAAGCACACAAACCCAAACACAGGTCCACCCACAGGTCTCCTTCCATCGTCACAACTGAACACTTCTCTCTTCCCTCTCCTTCCTGGCTTTTAATCAATTACTTAGTCATGCAGAGACCTTCCTAGGGTAGCTCAGTTCCTTTAGAAGCCTTTGGTAAGGAAACTTATGAAATATGTATAGGTGGTATCTCCCCTGTTCACAAGCCTGTTAGCACGTTCAAAGAAACCCAGTGTGTTTGTAAGGCATGAATGTTTTGCAAAATCCCTGCTGATTCTTCACTAGTATGTCAGTCGTATCCACCCACGCAGCTGCTGACTCAGCCTTTCAGAACGGTTTCTACTAATTTGCCTGGTGCAAATAGATCTTAGGCTGTCTGGAACATAGTTCCTGAGATCTTTTTTGGAAAACAGTTTAAAACTGATTGGACATGTGGTATCTTCCCAGCCCTCGGCTGTGGAGGTCACCCCGTGCCAACAGTGTTGCAGATATTTCATCCCAAAGGTCCCGTAGGGCTCCAGAATGACCATTCCCTGCTCCTGGCAGTTGACTGGCATTCACCTGGTGTATTTCTCCATGCCTTCTTCTATCAGCTTATTTCAAAGCTCCAGCTCCAACACCTGCCCCTATATGGTCTCCTACTGTGAACACAAACTCATTTAACTCTCACACTGCAGCCTTTTTATAACCAGATGCTCCTTTTATGCCTTGATCTTCTACTGGCTCTTCCCCCTCACAATCCATTTGAAAACCAAATTATTTTTCATTTTGCTCTAGCAGAGACCTTCTGTGTTATTTTATCCTGATCCTTTTCATGATTCTGAATTTCTTCCCCTCCAAGTGTGCTATAAAGCCATTTTAGATACCAAGTCAAGACACAGAGTTTGAAGATCAGCCAGGTGTCTTGGGTTCTTGGGAAAGTGTCCTGATACACTCATAGGCACATACACAGGTGTGAAAATTCCCATCTTCAGCACTAGGTCTCTGGATGCATCATACAGTGAAGCTGGTTCCCTTCTCCTGTGCAGTGATTTTGTAGCCTGCTGTGCACTAATGCTTGTTTGCTGCCAGAGGAAGGAGATCAGGAAGCAGTTTCCTGTGCAGGAAACTCAGACATTAAATAGTGAAGAGCATTACAGCGAGTAGAACACCCTGCCTGCCTGCACTCTGCACTCCCTGCTAGGTTTCTTGGTTCTGCTGTTTGCAAAAACATTTCATTTCTTCATTGATGTGTTTTATGGGTTATTACTCTGGTTTTTTTCAGGCTTACACGATCTCATTCGAACATTTAACCAGAGAGGGTAGGTTTGTTCCTGTTCTCCTCTAAGCCTCAGCTCTTCCTCAAGGAATGCCTCCCTCCTCCTTGTAGCCTCCTTCACCCTGCTTCTCTAGTGATGACAGAAGCTTTCTGGAGATTTTTGTTTGTTTGTTTTCAGCTATGGCATGCATTTGCTCTGAGCCCCCTTCTTGAGTTTGCAAGGAATCAACTTTTTAGCCTCTTGTTTTGGTTTTGTTTTATCCAGTTTTCTCCTTTTTTAGACAGTTATTTTTTTCTGAGATTGGTCTCACAGACAGTGGATTTTTTCCGTTTTCACTGCTGCTGCAGCAGTGCTGACCACAGAGCTGAGGTCATTGCTGCAGTGCATCTTAATCCTAACCAAGGCCAGCACTGCTTCTCTGGTGGGCTGCTAGCTGGCTGATCCATGGAGAATTTAGCCCCTGCACTGCTTCCCCATATGACTTTATGACTTCCCCGATGTTCATGTGAGAGGCTGGATTCTCCCTTTACAATCATGTTTTATTTCTTTCTCCGCCCCTCTGATTTGCCTTTTGCAGGTCAGAGATTCGTGAAGATCTCGTAGTGAAACTGAAGCCCTGGGAGAACAGGCTGGAAAGGGTCAAACCTGTCTGAGAGGTATCCAAATATCACTGCCCCCATCGTAACGCCGATGAAGAAGAAGGTCGCGGTCGCCTGGTTCAGTCCGCGCTGCTCACACACCAGATCCCACTGAAACACAAGGCCAAAATGACACTCAGTGCCCAGTTGCCTTTTCACACCCATCCTGACTTGCGATTTATCTTGGCCAAATCTGATAGGAAATGCCTTTGTAGTTGTCTGTGCAGGGAGGAAAGAGGGCAGAAGGGCAGTCATATTTACTGCTGGTGCTGTCTTCATAGAATCATGGAATGGTTTGGGTGGGGGGGGAACTTAGAGATGCTCTAGACCCAACCCCCGCATGGGCAGGGACACCTCCCACTACATCAGGTTGCTCAGAGCCCCACCCAACCTGGCCTTGAACACATCAGGGATGGGGCTTCCACAACTTGCCTGGGCAACCTGTTCCAGTGTCTCACCACCCTCACACTAAAGAATTTCCTCCTAATGCTTAACCTAATTCTCCTTTCTTCCAGTTTTGATCCATTACCCCTTGTCCTCTCACAACATGCCCTGGTAAAAAGTCCCTCCCCAGCTTTCCTGTAGCCCCTTCAGGTACTGGAAGGCCACTAGGAATTCCCCCTGGAGTCTTCTCTTCTCCAGGCTGAACAGCCCCAATTCTCTCAGCCTGTCCTTGTAGGAGAGGTGCTTCAGCCCTCTGATCATCTTTGTGGCCCCCCTCTGGACTCTCTCCAGGAACTCCATGTCCTTCTTATCTTGGGGTCTCCAGAACTGGACACTTATTGAGAAGTTTTTCTAGACATTCTTCCTAATCAAATTAATGAGCATAATTTTGCTTTCTTATAAGTGCAAATGTCTCTAATCATTACAGAATACTGTGCCCAAGCTGCAGAGTGAATTTTCTGAATGTGCAAGCTTGGCAAAACTTAATTTAATCATCAACCCAGCTTCACAGTCTCTCTGACAAGTCCAGTCAGACCTTAAACAACCTTTCTTTCTGCAAGAAGAAAAAAACTCCAGAGAAAGCCTCAGCTCTTTTAACATGTCCCAAGGCCACCGCACTGTGGGTGCTGCACCATGTGGCTCTGTGTTCAGCATCCACGCTGCAGAACACCTGCCTTTTCCCCCAGGGGAAAGGCTTTACACCTTTCTCCCTGAAACAGTGCAGAAGTCAGGTACAGACCTGCTGCATGTCTGACCCTCACCTCCATGCCTGCCAAAACCAGTGGTTGGGTGGTGGGGAGGAGGCACCAGATCTAGCATGTCTTGGCCCTGCTCTCCCTGAGACAGACACCTGCTATGATTTCAACCACACTCCTTTTGTCTGGCTGATTGTCCCTCTCCCTCAGGCTGTCTGTGCTTTGGGCCATCTTTCAAGGAAAAGTGAGCATTAACACCCAGAGGTATGGCTGGTAGCCTTAGCCAAGCGTTTCAGAAGGCAGATGGTTAATGTTTGATGGGCAGGGACCTTGGGCAGGCTCAAGGTTATGGCTGGCCAGCATGTTGCATCTCAGCAGAAGGCCCTTGGAGAGCACACATGGCTTGACAGCAAGAGGCAATTGGTGGGAAGCAAAGAGAGGCAGCAGGATCTTGGGCAGAAGAGGGGGAAGGTGGAGATCAGTGAGGAGGGGTGGGCAAAGGAAAAGTTACAAAGTATTTGGAAAGTCAAGAAAGCAAGTCCTGGGCTCCTATGAAGCCCTGATGGGGTGTAAACCTGTGCAATTGCCACGTGGTCCAAGCAGAGAAAGTCCTGTACCTGTACCTGTACCTGTACCTGTACCTGTACCTGTACCTGTACCTGTGTCTTCCCCCTCCCCCTCCAGTCTCTCAGTCACCTGAAGAAATTAAGACTCTTTTGACAACAAATGTTGGCTTCTGTCATTCTAAGCAAGATGTGTGTAATAATAATAAATGTTGGCTTCTAACTCTGAGCTTCAGAGAGCTTCCCCAACCATGAAATCTTCTCTAAACAAGTAATTCCCATTGTTTAAAATGCAAATATTCCCGTCTGACTGTGTGCACCCAGCAAACACTTCTCTGCATGCTCCTCAAAACACTGTCCTAATTTCATTTCTGGCTAGATCCCAGGCAGGGCCTTACCTCGGTGACGATGGTGGAGGTGAACTGTGAGTGGTCATAGACCCACCCATGCTGGCAGTGCTGGAGGAGGGAGCTGTTTTCTGGTTGCAGAGAAGAATTGAGCAGCAGGTGAAACTGAGGCTGAGAGAACATCTCACAGGACCTGAAAGTGCCATCAGGCTCCCGGGGGATGCTGATGAGCAGAATTTCCTCCATGGTGAGGTTCACAAATGCCTCTTGTTGTGGAATTGCACAGTGATGAGAGGGGGTAGCAGCAAGAAAATTGTGCAGCAGGAAATGCATGGGAAGGTTGATTCTTGGGAGACAGAGGATAAGCAAAATTAAAATCTGGAATCTGCCAAAGCCACCAATTTCCAGCAAGAGATCCTCAAATTTCATCTTTTCTATGGAGTTTGCTCATTCAGAGCCACGATCTACCAAGGAGCAGCAGCATGAGCTTGAAAAGCAGTGTCTGTCCTTGGAGCTCAATTTCCCATGGCTTTTCATACAGTCTCTTTCTTGGACTTTGAGATCTTGCTGAAAGGTTGTCAAAAGTCACACTGAAACTCTCCATTTGGGTTAGAGCCAAACTAATTGTCCTGTGTGCCCATTACATGTCTATTTCAAGTGGACCCAGCACAAAGTGCCTTCTCTTTTTTAGAGTCCTTTTCTTTTGTTGTGGTATTTCAAAGGGAGATGCAAGTTAGGAAAGGAGCCTGTGGAAAGAG